CCAAGTGAATCGTTGTATAATCTTTTTTTTACGAAATTACCATTACAATCTAAAACAATCTAAATTATCAATAATTTTCCATTGTTTTTGCAACAGTTACGCTCTTACGAAGGAATACTGTTGTACATTTGAAAAGAGAAGAACTTTCGAGCCTTAGGTTGTTCGAATCTCCGAATTTAAATTTATCACGATTATTTTAATATCAAAAAAGCACTCTCCATTTATCGAGAGACTCGATTTATTAATAATTCGTTTCGCTAATTACGAATAGTAAGAAATTCATCGGTAATTAGTAGGTGAGATGTCGGGGATCGATAGAATCCGAGATTCTCGTTGGCATCTAAAATAGCCAAGTTTCCAAAAGGTAGAAATCTCCAAAGGAGAGAGAGAGAAAGGCGAGAAAAGAGGGTAGATTTTGGATGGCAGAGGTCGAAGAAATGGAGGCAACGAGAGGTGGTAATAGTTTTAATCCGGTGTCTTGAAGTCGGGATTTGGTGGCGTAGCAGTTAGTGGCTGCTGGTAAGTCCAAGCGAACCCACTTCGCGCTCTGATATCATAATCCGAATAATCACTATTATTGCCGTCATTTGCTTAATCCAAAGCCTCGGTCGCTCGGTTTTCCACGCTCCGTGGATCTGCCGGCCGATGAGGACACACCGAGCATACCACCGAGGGGTATCGAAACTATTTTCGTTGCATTTCTACCAAAACCCCTAGTTGAGCTATACTACACGCATGTTGCATTTACATACGAAAAGTAAATTCTTAAACGCTCGATGGATATGTGTATACATAGAAATTTACATTTACTGAGTTTTCGAAATCTTGATATTGCAAATCAGTTTGGAATTTTTACTTTGGCAAGTGTCTGACATTGACGTCTGAAAAAATTGTCCGCGAAAATTTACTTTACAAGTAATAAATATTCTCGCACGCCGCAGCGAGGCAATTCATCTAGATTAAAATGCTCGTGAAAGAACAGTGAAAAGAAAAGAAGAAAAAGAAGAAAACAAATATACGCGTTTGACGAAAGGAAAAGTTGGAATCTTACTTCGTCAGATGACGATTCGTGCAGGACAGGGGCGAGAAAGATGCAACACACAGCAGCGGCGCGACGTCTAAACTTTTCAGTTCTTTCGTAAGAGAGCAAATATCTGTCCGCGGTGGTGGAAGTTTCACGGGCAATAATGCATAAACTCCATTTAGCTCTGTTTAAGCCGACTGGAAGGAAGGAGACGTTAAATCCCCGAGATTCGTTCTAATGGCCGCGACTCTCTTACAAACTGTTCCGCGGCTCTTTTCCGCCGCGTACATTTCACCGGGGGTTGGG